TTTCCACAAGGCCCCTATATTAAAACGACCTCGGAAGCCTCAACAAACAGCCCCACTTCCGACAGATGTCAACCATGGATCCCGGAATTCGATTCTTCGGTCCAGCAGCAAGACATCCAGCTGCTGCTTCTGTAGGTGCCACTCCTGGGCCGATGCTGAGGATTTGTCCAGATCCCCTGCCGCTGCCCCATGCGCTGGGTACTTCTGTCTCTCTCTTCTCTCGATACCTCTTCTCTTCTTTTTTTCTCTCTCTCTCTTCTCTCTCTCTCTCTCTCTCTCTCTCTCTCCCTCTCTCTCTCTCTCTCTCTCTCTCTCTCTCTCTCTCTTCACTTCACTTCACTTCACTGGGGTCAAGCTCCGAAGAGCCCGCGCCGGAGCGCCCCCTTTCCCCCATCTTCGGTGGAAAAGGGCTTTGGGGCAGCAGCGCTTGGGGTTTTGCCCCCCGTGGTCGTTGTAACTTGTGGTGATCGCCTGTCGGTAAACCTCCCTGACCCTGTACGTTATCGCGCCTCCCGGCCTCATCACCGCGCTCTCTGTAGCACTATCCTAAGTCCCTCTCTCTCTCCCACTTCCGGGCTTTTGAACCGTCAAGAGATCCTGAATCTTGAGCTTCAACCTGAAGCTGGGCACCATACTACAACCCGGACATTGGACTTCGGACAAGATCCGAAGAAGGGCCTGGGACTCTGTGACTCGGGTTGCAGACTTCGGAAATTCGTGTACGGGTGCCTGAATGTTGACTTTCGTGCTTCTTTCGGCACACGGTCAGGGTTTCTGCAGCTGCCAACAAGGCTCGTCGACCCGCCGGAGAATGAGATCCAGCTTCGAATCCACGGAAGAACTGGGTTGGCCAGTGTCGGAAGTGATCGCCATGGCTGTGGATTTCACCAACAGCCCTACGAGCGAAATTTCAGAGAAAGGCTCAAATAAGCTAGTGCCCGAACCCATGCGAAACGGATGATGGAGTTCATCCTAACCTCTTAAGGCCCAAGGTGCTTCAAGACTGACCTGCCCCCGTCTATGTACAATATGCTTGGTCTCTCGTGCCCTTACATGATCTAAGGTACCGTCTCCGCCGCTTTGGACGCTCACCCCTGATGTCAGCAGCTTCAGTCGAGGTGCTGAACAAACTTTTCAATCCTGGATTGATATAAGTTTGTTTGAAAAACAGAAAATTTAACGACCGTAGTCCTACTGTACGTTCAGCTTGGGGGGCCTGTCAATAGCCGCCACGTATGGCCGCGAATGCCCGCTCCGGTCAAAACAGAGCAATGCCAAACAACCAGCCCCATGAAACAACAGTGTCCGAAACGAATCACATGCCCTCCAGAACCAGGAACCTGCATGTACTACATGCCATGACATGAGCCATTTCGACGCAACCCACGCACATAAGACTCCACTTCATGATCCCTCTCTATCCTTGTTCTATCGCGCACACTAAACCAGATCAAAGAAGCCGAAATCACGAATCCCAACTCTCAAACACTCGAAGCGAATCCACGCACCCAATAAGCTTTCTTGGAGGATCATCCGTGGGAGTCCGAGTAAACTCGGCGGAATTCCTGTTGAAAAACCTGACAAACTGGGCCCATACGCTCTGAAACCAGCGACTGCCCTCCGTAATTATTTCAATAGAGGGCCTTGGAGACATGTAGAAGTTGCGACATCTCTGAAGTGGCCGACCAGTTTTAGGGTGCTCTCCTAAAGGGATCACTTAACCCTGTTACACCGTCTTTGGCGCTCCTAGTCTTAAGCCCTACAAGCTGTACGTTGGAGTGGTTGGCGCGGGATGTTCTAAAGGCCATAAGCACAAACACCAGGCACGATCTGGTACCAGTAGCAATAAACTCTTTGCCGGATGAGGTGGGGAGTGGAAGGCAGAGCTCACACGTTACCAATCTATGAGGATTGCTTGCATCCTCGAGGCGAGCAGATGATTAAGGTCTCAAGCTGTTTGATTGTGAAGCGTTAAGTCTTCGCGGCTTCTGGATCCAGGGCTCCAAGGTTCAGAGGTTAACAGCCCTACTACTTACAGGCCACACACCCAAGGCCTGGCCTAACCCATCAAGCCCTAAAGCCGGCGCAACCTGAATCATGCAACTACGAACGAGGGCTCTAGCTACCTGCATCCAGAGGCATGGCTTTACAGCTGTATGATGTACAATATAGATAACAATAAAAATCTGGTAGTCGCACCTCGCACAGAATCTGATCGCATCATATTCTGCAAACCCTGACAAACAGAAGTCCAGAGCCACGGCGAGTGGATGCCGCAGCCTACCTACTTACAGTAACGGCTAGCACAAGGGATTAGTGTAGGTAGATTCCGATCTAGTAATTTATGTTAAGGGACTCCTGCCGTAAACCCTTAACCTTAAACCCTGCATCCTCGAACTCTCAAAAACCCAATAAGCCCCTAAACCGTGGATCCGTAGATAACTGTCTAATGGGCCCGACTTAACCCAGCCAGATCCCTGTGCCGCCTGGAGCTCATGGCTCGAAAATGGGCAGGAAAAAGGGCTGCACAAGGGCGAAAAGGCAGAGTCTATACCTCAAGGCACAACCCCAAGAGGACTTTACATCTACAAATTCTCCACCCATATACTACCATGCCAGTCATCCATGGGTCCGCTATTTCATACACATCCGAACAACGACCTTATTTGATGTCACTTGATAAGCCAGATTTGACATCGGAACTGAAGGCTGGAAAATTGATCAACTCTCCTAGCTGACCCGGTTTCTTGTTTGTGAAGGAGACTGCGCTGCTTGCTGTGGACATGCACCTGACACCTGCCAAGTCACGCACAAAACAACACTCACACACTATGAGCCGGGATGACGCAAAGTATGCCCTGTTGGTAGAGCGGAAGTGTTGTCCGGAAGCTTTCGGAACACCCCAGATGGATCTCCAACCAGAGCCGAGGATTTCTCTTTGGAGGCTAGTGGAAACATTGACCTCATTTTTGGTCTGGTTTGGGATTGGCCAGTACTGCAGATTGCCAGAGTTTTTCACGCATCACCATCGGTATGCAGGTATCGGGCAGGGGAGATCTTGGGCACCTTGGCCGCACGACATCATGCTTCAATGCATTCTAGAGGTTCACGGGATTTACGATTGAGATGTGCAACCGGTGGTACTTCCTGCCTCGCCCTTTTGTTCCACTCGCGCCCTCAGCTTTCGAAAGGTGCCTGGCTCTTCAGACTATCTCTGGCTGTGGGCTGCTTTCGCAGCCGACATCTGTGCCGTTACAGCTCTCACCTTTTCGACCTGCTGTCTGTGTGACGAGGTTCCGAAATCTTGTACTAGTAGCTGCTATGTTGCTGCTACGCGCGACGATCCAGAAGCTGCAAAGAGTCTTACTCTAACAGAAACGGTCTGGCTCTTCTGAGATAAACTTCGAAATGCCGAGTGGACAAATCATGCAGCGTGAAGTTCCAATGGCTGCATGCGTGGCACTACAGCCTCTGCCAGTCTGTGAGGCAAGGACGAGGAAGAGCGAAGACTCTGGCCCAGGCAATGATCGAAACTTCTCGACTTCGTCGCTTCAGGGACACTGTTTGCTCGCTTGTCTTTCCTTTGCTTCTGAATGCAAGGCAGCATCCTCTCGCAGCCAGAGGACTCCCCATGTGAGGCCTCGCAAAGTTCACCGTACCCATGTGACTGGTGACGCTTGAGCTCGGAGCTGCCGAGCTGCTACGGAAAGAAAAAGATCGAGCCTCGAGCCGCTGGACCTCGTGCGCACTCTGCCGGGTCCTCAGAGACGCCAAGATCCGAAAGTGCGAGATGCTCTTGAAAGTCTCAGTCGTCTCCTTGCATTTGGGGGCTTGAAGCATGCCATTCACCCGGATCGGTCGCTTCGCCGTCCGAAACTCCCCAAATCATCGCAGAAATGCCGCCATCGCTGGTCTCCGAGAACTCAGCCTGCATCTCTCCGACTCCCTGCAACTGCAAACGGTGTGCAGACTTACTTACTCTGTGACCTCGCAACTGTTTGCGACCGTAGTGCTCCTGATCGGGGATTTGCGCCAAGCCCGATCATATCCGACTGCTTTCACGTAATCACTCGCCTCTGCCAAAAACTGCTTGGTGATGCCAAAAACGATGCGGGTCTTGACAAACTCAAACTGAAGCAAGCTAAAGCGGCAGCCGCCATGTTCCAAGATCTGCTTGGTGTGCGGATGCACCATGCCTGCAGAGCCAATCTTCACGATAAAATGGACCAAGTTTGGGCCAGGCCCTGGACACGGATGTGGCTCCCCAGTGCTGGCCCATCGGAGTCTTGCATGATCCCTCGGGAGGTATGCATGTGCAGCCTTCGCCGTCTTGTGATCCGTGAAGTTGATGAAGGCCAGAGACACGTTCCTGGACTTAGCCCGTCGTAAGGGGCAAGCACGAGGTCAGAGCAACCCGGCCGGAAATGATCCATGGTTTCCACAAAGCTTTAAGCCGTCAGCTTAGAGGGCAAAAGCCTCAGCATGATGGCCGTCGCTCCATCAAACAAGACTTGTCTGGAAACGCGATGCTCCTCGAATGACATGCCCATCCAATCGGAAAGCTGCAGGCGACCGCTCTTGCACTAAAGTCGCTGAACAGCTGAGCATGACATCCATCCTGCCGCCCACAATGCAGGTGCAGATCTACTTCATTGACTTCAACAGTAGGCGTTTGTTGATGCCTGCTTAGTTGTTGGATCTTTTTGAACATGAAAAGCTCCGGCTTCGAGCCACAGTTGAGACATGCTCGATGGCTGTCCAAAAGGTTCGTCGTCAAACTTCAGAGTTTGTTCTGGCATCTTGGAATCTTCCAGTAGGACGGTAGACCGAATGGTAAGCCTAGACTAGCGCAAAAACTCTAGAGTGCAAAAACTTCGAGATGCTGCATGAAACCTGGAACCCAAAACCCCACACAAGGCCGCCCATACACAAAACTCAACACACACACACACACAACTTAGACATGAAACTCGTCGGCCCTAAACCCCAAGCACGTCTTTTCAAGCAGCATCTGCCCCGAACCGTGCAATGCGGTCTCGATGTGCCACATGCTCGGGGCGGGGGACCTCCATGCAAGCTTCGGGCTGGTGTTCGGGCTTCAGGGCCTTAGGACCTTAGGATTCTTTAGGTCTTGCGGCTGTCTACTGAAGATCGGGATCCCACACAAAGGCTCAAAAGTATACGGCTGAGAAGTAGCTCACACGGATCTCCATCGCATCGTTCACTTCGTGACGAATAGATTGGTGTTTAGGCGTTCAGCTCCCAGGCGCAAACCCAAAATACATACAAAAAGGCACGCTGGGATGCCGAAGGTTTGTCAGCTCAAGGCTCCAGGAATTAGGGTTTCCAGAAGCATCGAAGCATTGCGGAATTTCTGCTGTTTTTGGTGACTTCTGGATGGCTTGGTTGGATCCGTCCTACTCCTGGTCCTGAACTTCTGAAGCCGCATCTCAGCCTTTAACGATTTCATTTTCCCAAGTAACATGGCGACGTGCAAGGGCCTGCGCATAGAAAGGAGACTGCAGCCGGTTCTCCCAAGAGTTGAACGCTACGAACAGATTCCTTGCAGGAGGAATCAGTGGTCTCCACTTAGACCAACATTGAAACATTCGGGGCAAAATTTGGTCACAATGACAGGGTATTGTAGGTTGTGGTCTACTGGGAAACAACCTCAGCCTCACATATCAGACCGTGATGACAAGCACCAAAACAGGCTTGAACGAGCAGCTTGTTAAGCGGCTGAAACTCTGAATCATTTGTTCAACTGTTTCGGGTTTCGGCCTCCCACATCGCACATGCAAGCAAGCACGGGGGGTTCGTTTGGACTCCAGGTTTAGATCAGAGGCTCTGGGTTTCCGGCTTGCGGATCTTAGGATGGTTAATAGACGGAGTCACGACTTCTGCCCAGGCCGCTGCCCATGAAAGCACTCTTCCTCCCGAAACTGAGGCCAGGTTTCCTCCGATGCCACGGCGATCGGTTCCCACAGGATGCATGTAGAAGGTTGGAGTCGAAGATGAGAACCTCGGTTCGGGCTTGAAGCGCTTGAGTTCGGAAAAGGACGACATTCCGTGTATAGAGTCGTGGCCCGAAGACGTCTTGATCCTTGCATATACAAATTGTATTTTCAAAACCCTTGGCATGACGGACCTCGCCAAGCCTTTAAAGTACTGGTTCTGGAAACTGCATACGCTTACTGCCCTCGCTTCGGTGCCAGCAAGCCCTTAGCCTCTCTTGGAACTCGTAGCATCATTTATTCTGAATTGGGTTTTCTTGATTTTAACACTCGCGCTCGAGAAGCTCGGGCAGGATTTCCTTGATAAACATACTGCAATGCGGTAACTTGAGAGCCCTCAAAAAGCAATCCTAGGATTTACATCTATCTACGGTCCACAATAAGGTCCCTCAACATGCCCTTGATAGCTGAGATGCATCACCAGCTTCCCCGGCACAATGTTGGATGCCATGCTTGTTCGCAAGCGCAAGGATATCCTGCGAGTACAAGTGCCGAAGGCTAGGCCCCAAACAAATCAAGCACCTGCGACGACGCTCTGCATCTACAAGTCCTCACAGAAGATTTAAGTCTCAGCTGCTGTTGGAAAGTGGCAGAGTCAATGACAGGCACGATGGCAGCAGCCGACTCAATCTTACTCTACTAGTAGTAGACCTTCGACACTCCTGGAACCTTAATCGTGCAAAACAGTCAATGCACCCCAACGTGCAATGCTTAGAGTCTCCGATCGGGGAACGGCGAGTGACAACTCCCAGGTTAAATAAAGGCAGGCTAAAAAATGCCCAAAACATGGCCTTTGACCCTCTGCCACTATGCAGCATGTTTTCAGGGTTGCACAGCTTCAGACTCGGGCTTGTAGCAGACCGCTGAACCTGCCCCTGAATTCTTCAACGGACTCATGCACACTCAGCTTGGCACCTCGTCTGCCGGCGTTCCGTATGTCTGAGCATGCAAGAGTTCAGGCATGAACAGATGGGGGCATGGCAGTTCATCGTGTTCGGTTGGATCAACTGATGGCGGCGGCTGCAGGTTGACATGATGACAGATACAGGCTTTTTCGGTATGATGGAGACCCAACAGATCTAGGATTCCAGGATGCAGGCTGGTATCAGAAGTGCTGAATAGCCAGCGAAATCCAGCAGAAAGCAATGTAAGAAAGTCAGACTTACCTAGTAGGGGACAGCAGGGTCGCCAATTCAATTCCTGCAATGCCTCAGACGAAGTTGAGTGCCTTCAAGACTTAGTGGAGTGCGTCTCTCTCCGTCCTTCAACCTGCAAGACCAGACCAAACTGCCTTGAAACCAGGAAAAATAACAAAAAGACTCCAACCACACGGTCTACCCCGGAGCAATCATTCTTGTTGCATATGCCCATGTCGAACGGCAGCCTGTGACTGCAGGGACTTCTCCCAATTCGCACCCTCCTGGTGCAGAAACTTTCGATAGGATGCAGACTCGGATTCGGGACACTTCTCAGCACGATCAAAACGTCGCCGAGACTGCATGCACAAACGAGATCTGTGCGAGAAGAATGGGTTTGGGGGGCAACTCGGACTCCGGAGATTTCACGAGAACTCCTGATCTGGGGGCCACCAAGCGCGAATATGGGAGTTCGAGCATTGCGAATCACAAGGCTCTCGGTAGATCGGGACCATTCGCCGGACTGGAAGTTTGGGTGTAGGATGGCTGGATCTACGTGTGGTTTAATTATTGCAAGGAAATGGTGCCGGTTAGGGCCTATGGGTCCGAAAGCTGCAAGGTCCTGCCGACCAGGACATCGGAGAAAGCTTTTGTGTGATCCCGGCACCACCATCCTAGAGACGGAGATCGGGATGCGCAGTTTCAGGTGGGCGCTACGTGGTTGTACCAAACATGCCTAGTAGAGAAAAGACGGAGAAGCCACAACGACGGACTGCAGACAACAGTGTCCACGAGTTTGACAGGCAACAATCTTGTCCAGTGGGCTGTTTGCAAGCAGGTAAAGCCTTGTGGATTTGGTATCTGAACCGTCTTGGCATTTGATGCTTCGCTTCCTTGCATCTTCGGCCTCGTGGTGGTCCAAACTATGACAAATGGCCAGCCGAATATAATCTAGACGTACAGTGAGTATCGTGGGCTTTTTAACCGTCAACTTGCTGCACACCTGGAACTTTGCACGCACAACAAATTGCCCGTGGTTTCAGGCAGCCTTCAAATTAGTAAGCTACAGTAGTCCTAAGTCGCAATCGTGCACCAGATCCAGGAGCAGCATAGCAGCGAAGCTCTGAAGTCCGGGCGGATTGGGGTAGGGACAGGGCCAATGTCTGCCCAGCATCAGTGCCCCGTTGCTCTCCACCTGAATTTCATAGGTAGATGACCCTCCAGGCTTCAAAGCTCTTCTTACAATTAAGTCGTCGATGGCTCGTCTGGATGAAAGGGCTCCGGCCCCGAGTACCCCCCCGAAATCCCTCAGAAAAAGTCTCATGGGAGACTAGTATGGGAGACTGACGAAATCTTGACCCGAAGGACGCTGCAGACGAGGATCCGAAAAAGCGGGGTTGAGCTGTGCGTGTGCGGTTTGCAACATCAGAGCCGTGACCAGCAAGCTCATCACAGCAGTAAACACCAGAAAGAAGCAAACTCCCACGCCGACGACTAGATACTACTTACTACTGCAGCACAAGACACGTTTCTAATGTTTATGCGTGCAAACCCCAGAACTTTCAGGCTGATCGGTTCTAGTTTCGCTCCGAACCTTCCAGACCATGGCGTTTTGACAGCCTCTACGAGCCTGAATGGCAGTGAGGAATCCCAAAACCCCCAAAACTTGAAATCTTCAAAACGAAACCAAAGGAGTCTCGGAAAGGCACGTTCTTATCCAGGTAGACTACGACGGAAGCACTGCGTGGACAAGGCATCCCGTCCTCCATTCAATGCATGTCCGGTTGAGGTTGGATATGATGGTGGACGGTTCAAGAACCCTGGGAGCACTGTGTGGACAAGCCATCCCATCTGGGGGCTTTGTTCTTCAGCGGTGGGGGGCTGTGGAAGTCAGCGAATCCCAATCTTCTGAATCCGACCAGCCGTTTTATGCAGTCACCTGAAACCCGGAGTGTTGTAAATGATCGAAACTTTAGGTGCCCTGATCATCCCTGGGACCCGCTAACAGGTCGGTAGATTTACAAAGAAGCGCAGGTCAACATCCTCAGATCGGAGGACCCCACACTTCAACTCCCAAAGCCTCAGCAACTTCGCCCGAACTTGTAGAACCAAGACCCACTGAAAAGAAAGGATCTCTTTGTCTTGATTTTGTGTTGCTATAGCTCGGGTCTTTTCGGCACACTGTCAAACAAACGTTGATGTCCTCCGCGTGCCAGGTTTCAAAGTCACCTTAGCACTGTTCTTGTCAGGAGTTTCTCAGGGTTGTTGCAATCTACGCCCTATACTACGAGTTTGGGCTCTCACGTTTTCTTCGAGCTGGCAGGTTAGGGCAGCAGTACTGCCGCAGTTTTCTGTAAGAGGTTTAGGATTTTAAGATTTTGAGGTTTCCGGGTTTAAATGTTTTGGGGTAGGGATGGTGGGAGCCCGTGCGCAATCAACGGCCTATAGTGGAGGTGGCCGCCAAGTAAAAGCTGGACGTGGTTGACGGCCTGCTACATCCGCCGCAGTCCTTTTCAGTTCCAAATCCGAGGACATTCGTTGAAGCTTGCAAACCCTTGGGCAGACTTCATACCTGAGACTCCTGGAGAAGTCTTCTTTCTCCGGAAACAAACTCTCTCTCTCTCTCTCTCTCTCTCCAGGGCACTCAGTCGCTGTCAGGCCCCGCCAGCTTCCTCCCCACAGGGATCCCGAAGCTCAAACTCATCGAAGTTGTTCTGTCACTGTAGAGAAAGCCTTAATTAGTCTTGTAACACCAAAGACGACTTCATCCGGTTGAATTGAACAAGTGCTCGTTCTGCCCAAGTCGGCAGATCGCCCTCTGGCAAGGTTCCGAGACAGTTGGAGGAGATTGTGCCAGTAACTACAAGTTTAGACTCAGTTTAGAGTGAGTGACACTTTTTCAGCCCTTTCCGATGTTCGTGTGCCCGGGAGCACTTCTTCCTGCAGTCACGGGCCTCTGCAAGCTGTTTTGGTGTGGTGTCGGGTGGGGGCGGCGGGGCGGCTTCGAATGAGTCTGAAGCCCCAGTGGCTGTGCCAGGAGAAGCCCGCGCCCTTGAAGGCGGACTGAAGGTTCACTCTGGACCTTAAGGACTCAAAAGCAGATTTGGCTTTCAATGCGTTGAGTTGGCTTCGGAAGGACTTGATTTTAGGGTGTATAGGCTGCAACAATTCCAGATCTGTACTTACGGTCTTTCCCCCCGGAGTCGCACTGCAGGGACAACACAGGGATGAAAGGCAGGGCTGCGGTTTCAAGAGCGCGCACTCCGACGAGGGTGTAACGCCTCGAATCTCGAGCTGGAGGCTTTCTTCGTGTTACGAAGCCCATGTTTCATTGAACCCCGAGGTGATTTCGTTGATAGACGAAAGGGTTTGGGAGCTTGATCATGTGTGTTATGTAATTGCCCTTTCCCAACACTGCACCGAGTAGTCTCGAAACCCTATCCTGAACCCTTGCGGCTTTGGCTTGCCCTTGAAGGTTTGTACGGGTTCAGGCTTTTGCAAGCCAGAGTCTGGTGAATGTAAACATCATCCGCCAGAATCTGCCGCGCAAACCTTGCCAGGATGCGGAATGCGTACAAACATTGCGTACAAACACTACAAATACAAAAGATTTGAACGGACGCCTATGTATACATAAGATATATATATATATATATACATGTGCTGTACGTGTGTATATATATATATATATATATATTAATGCTTCCCCCCCCCCCAAAGATCCGCGCATTTTGGCTTTATTCGGAAGGAACCCCCCCCCCAATATGAGTCGCAATTTGTTCTTAGTCGGAAGGAACGCCCTCAAATATGATTCGCGCGTTTTGGCCTTATTCGGAAAGAACCCCCTCAAATATGACTCAATTAATCCGAAACAACCCTTCCATTCCACAGCATTGCCGGAGTACCATTCCACAGCATTGCCGGATTACCCTTGGTACCCACATCACTTACAACAGCATGTAGCTGCAGTATTTGTAAACCCTTATGCATGTCTCTTTGCATATGGACACGGGTGATGGACATAAAGCGTAAACTTTCCGAGGGAGGAATATGCGAATACAAACGAACACGACTGCACCTCTGAAATGAAAAGACAACGACAATGTGGACCGGGTGATCGGTGATGGAGACAAACGGTGGCACAATGATCGTGACTTTAGGGTCTGTTTAGCTAGTTTTTTATATAGACAATATCAAACGCTTAGCTAAATGCTACATAGCCATATCACGCATTCTACAAACCGAAACCCAGAAAGTTTCGCACTGATTCAGACATAGAATTAAAAGCACAAATGTCAAATTTCAGGTTCGTCCACGCATCCCGGCACGCTCGCATGCAGGATATTGCTATGCACCTGTTTACCTTTGATATCGGTCGTCATCGTGTCTGAAAACAATTATGCCACTGGTTTCAACAACTGTACTATCCCTCGGTGTATGAGCACAAGAAGATTCCTGGCATTCGTAGTCTCATGTCAAAGACTGGATATGGCATCCATACATCATCATATGCTGTTCCTCTGTCAATATGATACGCAACAGTTTGCATTCGGTCCAGGATAATTTTCTATATAAATGTTGCAACACAGAAGGTTGTGATTGCTAGTTTGTACATGTGTACATCAGATATGGTCCTCAGGTATGAAATCTTACCTTACCCATAGGCAATGCGTCAAGGACAGGGGTTCTCTGGCTAAACAGCCACCAGGCCAATCCATGAAGCTAATGACACGGTGCACCACAGTTACCACTCCTCCATAGCATATAACTGCCGGCCTGACATGCATATTGTCTTGCATATGTCAGCCCATGGATATGACACGAAAATGTAATATCTTCATGGCATGTTGGAGAAAAAACAAGTACGCAAATACTCCGGCATCGACATCGACCACGAAGATCTGGGTTTCTATATAGAGGATCTACAAAGTTTCTATATGGAATCTATAGAACTTTCGATATGGGCCCATATGAGGGATCTACAAGGGGTTTCTAATGGGTTTTTTTGCAATGGATGTACAAGGTGTCTATAAGGAATATAAACGGGTTTGCTATAAGGGCTCCATATGAGGGATCCATAATGAGTTTCTAGAAACTCTCTCTATAGGGATCTATAGTTTTTCTATATCATGGGTTTCTATAAGGTCTCTACATAGAGGATCTATAAGATTTCAAGAAGGAATCTGTAAGGGTTTCTACATGGGCCCAAAATGAGGGATCTATACCGGGCTTCTATGTGGTTTCTAGAGGGGGGAAAACCACATAGAGGGGAATCTACTAGTTTTCATAAGGAGTATATAAAAGTTGTCTATGAAGGCTCCGTGCAAGGAATCTCTCAAAGTTTTCTATAAAGAACTCCATTTGTGGATCTATAAGGGGCTTCTGTAACTCTCTATATAAGGGATCTATAAAGTTTCTATAAGAATCTATAAAGGCTGTCTATGAGGGCTCCATATCAGGGATCTATAGGGAGCTCCCATAAGGTTCTACGATGGGGCTCTGCAATGCAAGGACTTCTATAATGAATCCATAAGGATTCTCGATAAGGGATCTATACGGGATCTCTATAAGGTCTCTATAGGGAATTCATAAGGCTTCTAGAGAGAATCTATAACGGTTATTTGGAACGGCTCCAAAACAGAGCTGTATGAGGGTTTTCCATAAGGTCGTTATAGATGGGATCTATTCTTCAAGGTGTTCATAAGGCCGCTGTTTTGGGAACCCACACGGTTTCGGAACGGAATCTGTAACAGAGTTCTATAAGGGATCTATGAGGGGTTTCTCGAAGGTTTCTATACAGGGGATCTATAAGGTTTCTATAAGGAATCTATGGTTTTTCTATACGGGCTCCATTTCAGGTCTATAAGGTCTTTATATAAGGAATCTGTAAGGTTTCTATAAAAAAAATCTATAAGGGAATCTGTAAGGTTTCTATAAAGAGTCTATAAGGGTTTAGGATTCTCGACACGGTCTCTACACAGGGGATAGACAAATTTTCTAATAAGGAATATTTATCAGGGTTGTTGAGAAAGGAGGGGGAAGGTGGGGAGGTGAAAAGAGAGAAGGGGAGGGAAGGGGAGAGGGATGGGAAGGGCTGTTGCCGGCAACACATCGGGTATTAGATCTCGGATGCAGGCCTTAGCCCCGGTACAAACCGGTACAACCGGTACAAGTTGTACCGGTCTTCTCCTGGAACCTTGGAAGGGTCCCCCCGGTACAAACCGGTACAACCGGTACAACTTGTACCGGGGGAATCCAAGATTCCAAGATTCCAAGATTGCTGCGAACTCTTTCTCGGAATCTTGGATACCGGAGCCCATCCAGTTCCAGGATTCCAAAAAAGACTCCGCAGCAATCTTGGAATCTTGGAATCTTGGATTCCCCCGGTACAACTTGTACCGGTTGTACCGGTTTGTACCGGGGCTAAGGGGCCAAGGCCTGTACCCACTATCTTTGGAGCGGAGTTTGCCCAACCATGTGTGTGTGTGTGTGTCTGCTAAATGTTGTGGTATTCACGTAGGAAGACACACATACAGACGACATGAAGAACAAACAAACGGGGATGGCACACGAAGAGCTGGAAACAGAAAGAAAGCGTGGATCTTTGGGGGGGGGGGGGGGGGGACCATATTAATATATATACATATATATATATATACATATATATATAGATGTGTTTATTTCTAAATACATGCTTGAACCCAGTCTCAAATCCTGTATGAGCTGGTCGGCTAGTGTGTATGTATATATATATAGAGAGAGAGTTATATTATGTATGTATATATATATACAGATAGATACACATTTACATATATTAGCAAACCCTAGCTCCGTCAGTGTCGAGATAATTCCTTTAGCATTGCAGTGCTGTGGGCCATGAGATATGCGAAGAAAACGCAGAGAAGAAGGGTGTGTGGTTGAATGACGGCAGCATGGAATAACATGTATTCTGTGTCCGCATGATGACTCTTCCAAAACCTCTACAAAGACCCGGAAGACACCCGTTTGACGGCTGTCCCCCTCCCAGTTGCTAACATGATCCAACTGTTGCATGCACATACTATATAGGCTCTTTGACGGGCACCCCAAGAAAGCTCAAGATGCAACATCTGTCTAGGATCGGCGTCTCGGCCGTGCTCATGCCACTTTGAAGGCACGATCCGCACATGTTTCAAGACTTCTCAACGCAATTTCGGTCGGATTCTGACTGCATGTGCATGGTACCATGATTTTTCAAACGTGTGCAGGTGCACCTGTGTACATGCGCGTCACATAAACATACATACATACATACATACATACATACATACGTACATATACATACATACATACGCACATATGCATGCTGGCATAGTAGGCTTTTGCTTCACGGGCAGCTTAGTCAAGCCAAGTTCTCACGAAAAATCCAACTGAGGAGGAGTTCAGGAGCGAAGGCTACTTCCCAGTCTGAATCCGGCCAGATGAAGCAAACGTGCAAGCAGGGGGCTGTGTGATCAAAGGGGAAGTTGCAAGCTCTGCGATGGGGCTGTCTGCATCCTGGCCCAGATTGTGGAAAGCTGTGTATCCAGATCCTTTAGCCATACTTGTAGAAGCAAGTGCCCGGGAACTTGGTCATTCATTCCAATCCGCACCTTGCCGTGGTCAGAGCACTGCTTTCACTCAGGACAGGCTAACGGTAGTATCAATTCATCTATGGTTGGGACGTGGGCGCAATGGTGCTAGAGCTGGAGAGCTTTCAAACTGTTCCACACTGTTTCAAGTTGCACAAACTTCGCGCAGAATTACACCTTCTTGAGTTGCATGGTGCTGTTGATTTTTTTCGAAGTGAACAGGGGATTCCAGGAAATATAACAGGTAAGAGAGCACCAGCAGGGCTAAACTGGAACATGGCCACTGGGGCTCCATTTCCCAAGGCGGCCTCGTGCACAGCGAAGATGCTCCGCAGCGCAGACGAACCCGCCTCGGTTACCAGGCGGCAGTCCGAGTCCACGCGAGACCTCGGTGGACGAGTGGTGGTCGTCGTAGCACAGCAGTACTGAAACGAGATTGCTCCGTCTAACAGAAGAAGATTTTCTCAAGTGTTCAAACGCGGACACAATGTCAAGTTGTTGGCACAGAGAACAAGTGAGACAAAGTTCAAAATTCTAAACCGCAACAACGGTAACATCACATGAAGGGTGGTAACATCACTGGAGGGACTAGTCACACTATCATTAGCAAAACATGTAAAAATAGTATTGGTGGATTTGGTTTAGATAGGCAACAACAAGTCGTAATTTGCATGACCGGCCCAATAATTCGAAGTGGACCAGAAGCCTAGCAGCCGTGGAAATGGCGGTGCTGGTGGTAATCGCAGTAGCAGTATATAGAACTCAATAGAAGTAGTCGTCGTCTTAGGAGCAGCGGCGGCAGCAAATGCTGCGTCGCAACCCAAGAAACAGATTCGCCGGTTACAAGGCAGTGGGGCCTCGACGGCTCATTGATGGATCCGACCAGTTCTTCTAGGAACTTTCGAGAGGCCTGAGAGCTCCAAACATAGGTGGGCGAGTGTTTGCGGGGGCTCAGCGGGAGATCCAAGCAGAGGAGCTGGACATGGACCAATGGAGTTCGCGGCTTGAGGGTAAATTTCTGGCACCGGTTGATCTTGGCCTTAGTGACTTAGTGGTGTGGGGTTTGCAGCATAAGTCAAGGTTTTACTGGTGCGCAAGGGCACAGCATCTCCTCGTCTTCGACCGACTTCTCCGAACCAGCCCTTACAAGCATTGTGACTAGGGCCTGCCACTTCTCACAGCGGTAAATCCTCGAACCTCTGCCCTACGAAAATCGAAAAGCCCCCGTCAAGGCCCTCAACTCGCTTTGAGACCCTTTCCATTTACTACTGGACTCAAGTCTGGCCTCCTTTGAGACCCTGGAAACTGAACCCATTACGTCCTCAACTTCAAAGCCCGCACGAGGGCCTCGATCTGCTGCGGAGGAACGACGGCTCGCAGGATGCAAAAGCCCTGAAGAGGATGTCTTGTTTCTGTTTGGGGGGGCCTGGGGTGTTTTAAAGGGTTTCAAGTTTCAACTCTCCCAACTCGCACAAGGCAGGCAAGGACCCTGACAACGTCCTTTGAGGGGATTAGGATTCAAGCTGCTATGAAGAACTTGACTGAACTGTGAAAGGTATTTCTATGTACCGACTTTCTAAATAACTAGATGCCAGGTGACGAGCCAAATTAAGATGGCTTTTCCGGTATTGCCACGGGAATGTAACTTTGCAAAGCCCGGTTCAGGACGAACAGAGTGGTTTTACGGGAGATCGAAACGTAAGACCCGACATGCTGCTCTGACTTTAAGCCGGCACGTCCTGCGACGGCTGCGAACATGGACACAAGCACTCGTGAGCCCTTACCAATGAAAGGCTGTTCGAATCTGGCCGCTTCATGACCCCTAAATTAGGGCCCGCCCCCAAGAAGCCCCTGTAGCGCAGCGCAACGAAGTGTGCAGAGCCCCGCCTGCTCTTCGTAGGCATTCAGCCTCGTTGGGACGGTCGCATGGGTTTGTCGGAGACAAGGAGTTAAGGCTTCAAGTCGTTTTGCATTGCTGGGCTGAGTCCTGGCGGATTTCGGGTGTTCGGGTCTATGAGTTAAGGGTACTGGATGGCACTGGCACACTTTCCTGTGTCCAGCCACCGTCAGCAAAGGAAGCACTGCAAGAAAACACAATACAAATCTATGCTAAAGTCTCATCTGCATTATGAGAACCGTTCTCGTCGTGTGAAGATGACGGGAATATGCAGTCTTTCCGGTACCTCTGTCCCATCCAGCAGGTCGGGTACCCACGACAATGGACAGGTATGGAGACTCAGGCCTCAGCCAATCAACGTCTAAATCAACATCTATGGCTCCTTGACTTCAGGCCGAGACTTTGGCCCTTGTGAAAGCCTGCAGTCATAGACCACTAAAATGGACAGGATGCCGACATGCAAAGGTATGCTTTTGACTTGGGGTCTGTGAGCGTCTGATTTAACCCCGAAGATCCTCCGTCGCCAGTGTTTGTCCTGCTCTTGTTGCACGAGCGAGCAAGCTACGAGCTACGAAGTGAAGATGATGGTCGCCAACCCCGAGCTTGATATGCAACCTCTGGGGCCACGGTTTCCGAGCGGAAGCACGGCTCGAAGTCATGCGCCCTGTAGCCTTCAACTCGCAACTGTTGAAGTGCCCTTGAGTACGGAAAGCCACCCATGCAAGTAAGCCAAGAGGCAGTGCTTGGCTCAAAGGTTTGCTCGAATTCCCGGGCCACACCTCAACAGCTTTTCTCATGCTTCACGACATGAGGATTTGGATGGTTTCGGGCAGGTTAACGTCCATGAGAGGCGCATTCAGGGTTGAGGATTGCATGCTCGTCTGTCTCTGTGTCTGTGCCTTTGTCTGCCTGTCTGCCTGTCTGCCGGTCGGTCGGTGTCTGTCTGTCGGGGTGTGTCTGTGTGGCGTGTCTGTGTTTCTGTGTGTCGCTTCACGACAAAATCCGATTCTCGGCGCGCAACCACCAGCAACACCGCCAGTCTCACTTGTCATCAACACCAGCTGCAGCAGCACCACAACCACAATCATCCCATTGCTGCTGCGACAGGTAGAGCTCCTCCTAGTTGATCCAGCTCCTAAAGCTTTCACTGGGAACTGCCATTGCTACTGCCCGAAGGCCTTGACCTTAATTAGTCCTTAGCCCTAAACTCCTAAACTTTTACCCGGAGCCAGGCTGCCACGGGATGCACTCGAAGGACCGCTCCACTCTGCACACCCCGGGTGGCATAAGGGCTCGCTTGGCGGATGCCCGTCGTGGGGCCTCGCGGTAGTAGGGCGTTCGGGTTGGGGCCGTCGTGAAGGATTTAGTTCCGGGCCTTCGAATGGGATTTGGAACTTTCATCTGTCCTTTTGCGAGTTGTTGTGAGGTACTGTCCATGTGCTTGGCACCCTTAGCGCTGACTGCAGGTTGCAAGCTTCCAGGAATGCCACTGACAAACGCAACCAACCTCCTTCGGTGTAGTAGGGGTTTACAGCTACGGCTTTAGGAGGTAGTGTGCGACTAGATGACTGGATGAAGTCTTAATGCCAGGAAGTCGAAGCCCCAGCGTCCACACCCTTAAACTGACCGAACCTCTCACAACCTCAGAATCCCTGAATGCAAAGCTAACGCATTCTCTCAAGCGGAACCTCTACACGATCAGACCATATTCCGCGTCCGGTGTTGAAAGCGCATGTACCATTCTGTACCAGTGCTGAGCATATCAACTCCTCCTTAGACTTAGCTGCTTAGCTACACACACGCAGCCTGCTTTGTCTGCTTTTTCCACGCCCAATGGACCCACCACACACCTCAGTCAACAGGAACTAATCACAAAGTAGACTTTCAAGCGTTGAGCACCCTCGCTCGGGTTAACATGTCCTAGCCCTAAACTGTCGAGGCACCTCTTTGCTTTGGGGGGGAGTATATTTACAATCGGAAGCCGCGACGACCCAAAAAACACAGAAAGCCCCTCAGCGAACGCGACAGTCGGACTGCAAGCTACGAAGCATAGTCAACTGCCCTCGGGATGCCATGCGCGAGTACACCCATCAGCTTCTGACGACGGCAGCAATTGCGAGGACGCTGATATTATGCATGTATGGCAGCCTACACTGGAAAGGCAATGTCTTTGCCACCGTCACTAAAATAGACCAGCTTGTCCGGCTACCTGCGCTGAGAGAAGTGCTCGCCCGCAAATGCCGAAAAAAGCTTCTCAACTCGAAGCTGTCGAGCAGCTCCTGCCCTCACAAGGCAGTGGACAGTCTTCTATGTCATATGTCAGGATGGGCCGCGAATCTAAGTTACCAGACTTCGACCGAACGACATAAAATCCCCTGCAAAACCCTAAATTCATGAATCAACCGAAAAGCCCTGAATCCCAACAACATCCCAGAACCTCCGCCAAACGGGACCACCGAAAGCCACCGCCTCTGTTGCTGAGGCACAGAGTTTCCGGTGGAGCTGGCGAGGTCGCCGGGAAAAGATCTTCCTTGCTCGATATAGTCGAGTTTAAGACTCTAGAGATTCGGGGTGTTGCGGCTTTCCCTAACTGGTAAACACTATAAGTATAGGTAAGACTATAGGGTTAAGGGCATTTGGTTCGCTGCCCCCCCTGTCCGCGAGGCCTCGTCTTCGACCGATTCTCGGGCACGCCAAAGTGTAAAATCCAATTAGCAGCGTGGACCGTGGACGTTTGCGATCTTCAACTTGACGAAGCGCAGGAGTTGCTGTGCGCTAGAGCCCTCCTGATTTTGAAATCGCTCCAAATCGCTGCAGTCCCAGCACTACCACTAAATGTGCTCGAAATCTGTGCTTTCGTGTCTCTGCCTCCAAAACGGGAGCTGCTGCCCACAGTTCCGTACACAGTTGGGCCACAGAGCGGCGTGTGTTTTGGGGTGCCAATACAGTGCGGTGACCTGCTGGGTGTTGTGCTTTCGCTGAACTACTTCGTCTGAACACGGTGTGAGTTCCAGCTCCTGCTTCTGATGTGAGTTTGTCTGCCCCTCAGCCCCTAAGCCCTATATCTAAGAGGTTTATGAGCTACTTTCGCTCGGGCCACGAACTCGATACACCAACCCACGACAGTGGGTTTATGCCTGATCCTGATTGTGCACTGCAGCTGGAGCTGCTGGGGATCTTTAGCTTAGGTTTCGGCCGGCTTGAGGCGAAGCACGCAATCAACAAACACAAGCAAAGCGCTGGGCCCCTGAAGTTCCTGAGCCCGATGAACGAAACCCACACCCTGAACAAAAACCGAGAACCCAAACAATGGAATCCCTAGGAGCTGGTAGCCAGCCGATCTTCTTCTCCATTTTCGTATCATTTTCCGCGGCCAGGCATGCCTCAGGACTTCTGTGCATGGTTATTGGAGGCACTGCGGCCTACTGTTCTGGTCTAAAGATTTTAAAGGTGTGTACACACGCAAACATTTGAGGACTCTGAGGGTTGTCGCGCTCCAATCGACCGGTTAATGTGCAAACCCATGAGCCCAAGTTCAACAAAGGACCAAAGCCACCACATTGACATAAGGATCCCATACCTGGGGTATGGGGACCTCTGACTCAGGAGGATGCCAGAAAGCCTTCATCCTGAGATCCTCAAATTGATGTAGGTCGCCATGAGCGCGGGGGTTGCGCTCGCGGCGGTGGCCGATGCGGCCACATACCGCGCGGCGAGGCGTTGGCGCAGCGCCTCCGGGCAGTATTAGGCCTTCAGGTTTTGAGAGTTTACGAGCTCATTGGCTAGAGTTTGAGTCGTTGCGGGACGTATATTTCGGCATGCATACATACATATACACACACATATATATATATATACAGAGACACAGAGAGAGAGAGAGAGAGAGAGAGAGATACCTACCTAGGAAAGCGCATATACTCTGTACATGTATATATATATATATATATATATATTACTTCCGTACGTACATATGTATGTACATTGTACATACATACACACACACACATACATAGTCCTTGTAATAAGGATCCTACTATTTAAGGTGCTACAAAAGGGTCCCCTATCTTTCTGAAACTCCCATGTATAGGTACCCATCTTACCTGCTACCGTCCTGGTTACTACCTCCTTCTGTCGTACGTACGCTTGCTGTGTTACTATATCTAGTGGTGCTAGTACAATGCTAGTCCTAGTTCTAGTAACAGCACCAGTGCCAGCACCACCACCGCCACTACTACTACTACTACTACTACTACTGCTGCTGCTGCTGCTGCTACTACTACTACTACTACTACTACTACTACTACTACAGCTTCGTCAGATCCTCCGAATTTCGGGATCCGCCGGGGTGGTTGTGCAAATCCCTGCCGTAGTAGTAGTAGTAGTGGTAGTAGTAGCAGCATAGTAGTAGTAGCACTAGTAGTAGTAGTAGTAGTAGTAGTGGTAGTAGTAGTAGTAGTAGTAGTGGTAGTAGTGGTAGTAGTAGTAGTAGTAGTTGTAGTAGTAGTAGTAGTAGTACTAGTAGTAGTACTAGTAGTACTAGTAGTGCTAGTAGTGCTAGTAGTGCTAGTAGTACTAGTAGTACAAGTACTAGTAATTAGTAGCAACCCCTCAACTTCGGAGCCGACGAGTCTTGGTGCCTCAAGCATGGACAGAGCGAGCCGGCAGCGCCGGAAGTCGCTATCCACGGCGATCTGCCAAGCAAAGTACCTTCACGCTTGCGCTTTGCTTTTTTCTGAATCATCTCTAGGGGTTCAGGCTTTGGAGGGTTTCGGCCTACCGACCGACTAAGGGCTCTGGGCCCAGGCACAAACCGTGCGGGCGAAGCCTAACAAAAAGTGCTGCAGAGACAAGAGCCCAACTTTTGGAAGACAGACATATCAGATACTGGCTTGGGATGTGCCTGGGCAGCTTGTCCATTTGCTGTGTTTATGAAGTGCTGGTTGTGTGTTTACCACATAATGGACAAGTCCATGAAATTCTTTGTACAAGGAACCCTGCTCCCCGAACCCTAGTGGAAAGCCTTTGGCAATTCTGCCGGCCCTTCTTGACCATGAAGCTTGGTTTCACAAGACTTGATTCGTGCAGATTTCATAACGCTGGGGTTGAAAGAAAGGAACTTATAGTGACAGAGCTGGGTCAATCAACAAATTAACGTGTATGCTTCGAGCGCCCAGTTGTGAACTCTGAAACCCAGCGCCTTGAAGTCTGATGATGCACTGATCGAAACTCTTGGCCCGGTCTCGAGGCCCTGAGAGCCTCGCATAATCAATAACACCCAGGAGCCCGTACATTACCCTGACTCCTCAAGGCTGAAGGCAAGGCGACAACGCAAACCCGCAGGGCCTGCACTATCAGGCTTCCAAGCACTATACTATCTAGTGCGGGGCTGTGAAATCACAAACCCAACATCATCGACGCAGAAAGCCCTCTAAACCATGACCATGCATGCCATTTGCTTCCCGGACACGTGTCAGGATCTGTTGGAGGCAAAAAACCGAGAACAAAACCAACCATTCGTCCAGCAGGCGTCTTCGCCACTATGCAAGTGTCCTTGGGTCATCTATCGATCTATCAACGATCTATCTATATGTCTGTTCTGCTTTTTTGATTTGTTGTTGGTCTTTTGTCTGCCTGCATTTAAACTGAAGTTGAAAAGGCCATCGTGGCTGGTTCCGCCGGCCCACAAGGCATGCTGATGAGGCAACAGGTTATGTCTAGGCTGCAACAAACCTTCAGCGTGGGTCTGGGCCTGCATCACCGTAGTAACAGGAGTACTTCGAGTCATCGTGAAATGCAGAGACCTCTCATCGGGCCCCGCCGGGAAGCGGACTTGGAAGCGGGTGCCTTGTGTCCCTGGTCTGACTGCAGCTGCATCCTGTCTATAGTTTGCGTTTCTTTCGCTGCGTGCAAATAGTCTTGCCTAACATGCCTTATTCTTCTCGCCTGTCTTGGCTCGCGTTTCAAGGCGCGGCTCTACAGGCCCCGCTTCAACAAAAATCGATAACCTACCATGTAGTTAGCTCTGCTTCATCGAGTGTTTGTGCAGGGTCTGCGAGGGCGCAAAGAGAGGTTGGATGTTGGATGTGACCTCAAGACACCACGGTGACCGATCCTGTCTTTCGCTGCGTGGTCCCGTACAGTGCGACAAACACCTTTCCTGCAGCACTGTCCCCGTCATGACGCGATGCTCCTGACACCCACGGATTTAATGAGTTTGTCCCAGGATCAAGATTCTGTCGAAAAAGGTCGTGCATAAGCACTTTCTTCAGGTCTTGGGCGTTTTGCGCACTTCACATCCCCCTAGTAACAGGAACCTAACGTCGGCCAGCCTTCTGCCCTCATGCAGGTCTTAGCAAGGACAAGTTCTGACTGCTGTCCTGGCACAGCGAAGTACATGCAATGGATGATGTAGCCTGGAGTCGGCCGCCGTGAGTTTCCGGCTGTTCTTTGACTTCGGGATCGATTCATGTTCTGATGGCTTGTGGGTGCACCCGCTGTCTTGAGCAATGGGCTCTGTGACTTGCTTACTTGGCTGAAGAAATCTCCGCGGTGTGAAACGACCAGCAGGTGCAAGATCTAGGCTTCTGTTGTTGTGCTTGTCACCTGCTAGTGTGCGCATTCTGGGGTCAACAAGCAGCAGGGCTGGTCTTGAAACGCTACGCTGGCCACAAGTCGTAACATGCTTCAAGCCCCTGGACACCTCCACCAAGCAAACCGTATCAGCACTCACTGAAACTTGCGGAGACAAAACCAGACGTGTTCACACACCCGATACCGATACATCTGAACTAAATCCGCAGCGACAGAGCGTCACCCATTCGCAGGACTGTGAAATACTGCCCACCTGACCAAACCTGCCCTCAAGCCAAACAGGAATCCATGCAACAGCCAAGCATCAGTATGCGGAGTTGGAGTCCAAGCCGGCGCCTTGAGCCAGTGACCACCTTGGCCGTGACTCGACTCGCCACGGCCATCACCACCGAAAACATGAGCATCAAAGTCATCACCGTAGTCATCGACATGTGCCACCACCACCGTCATCACCGTCATCGGCTGCTGCTTGTACCATTACATTTTGGGCGCACACCTGCAGAGAACGCAGCAGCTGTAGGAACACACGTGCTCAAGCTACGGGCTCGGGCAACGCCAGCACACATGATACATGCGGTGCTGATATACATGAGCATCATCTGTCCTCGCCTGGTGGCAAGCTCGGACAAACTTGAAAAGGGTATGCCAAGGGGCTTCGCAGCAGGGTTTGCAGATTGCTTCTCGTACATGAAAGCTGTGCTTCAACGGCAAACTGCTTGAGTGAAGGACCGAACAAACCTGAAGCCCTGAGCCCTTCGAGTTCCAGTTCAAGTTGCATGTTGGCACCGTCCTCGGAACTGGGCAAGCTGAGCACCACGGTGCCGAGCCTCGGTAGTTGGGCATATCTAGACAGGGTCTGTGCGGGTCCGAGTCGGAAAACCGTGTCCCCTGTTGGCAAGGATATCTTAGTTCATGGCTTGGGTCACTGCATAGTAATAGATGCCCATGGCTAGCGAATAGCCGGAGAAGCCGTCCTTCTTTCGAGATGCCGGAAAGTCTTCGACGGCTATATGTTCATAGCGCGAGTCGAAAGCATCTTGGGGCCTCCTGCTGCTTACCTGCCTTCCTGCCTGCATGATTTCCTACCTACCTACCTACCGACGTACCTCGCTACCTTGCCACAACCATACCATGACATGTATACATGGAAACATGTACATGCTGCTTTCATCTATATACACACATGATAGATACATACATATACATACACAAATAACACAAATTCAAACACATACTCATACATAGGTACACAGATACATAGATACATACGTACCTACCAACCCATCTACCTACAGACAGACATGCAGCCATGTAGACGCACTTACATACATGCAAACATTCCTACACCTTTACATGCTTACATGCATACATACGTACATACATACACTACAGTGCATCACAATCCACCCCTAGGCGACCATCCCCGAATGGAAAGCCGCAGACTGGGAGCTTCGTCTGCAAGGTCAACGGAAGAGCTGGCTTGGTTTCGCCGGATCCACCTTCGATTGCGCTTCAATCCAGTTTCGCGTTATGCAATGTTTGGGGGGCTTGGGGTTGAGCTAGGCTTGGGCTTGGACATGGGCGGTTGAAAGACAGCCTGTTCAGGAACATGCAACCGATGCAGATGCTTAAGTATCGCCCTGTCTGTCTGTGTCACATACATAAGCAACCATTTGCATATAAACACGTCCCGATACAATGAACTGTTGTTTAGTAAACCGCTAGCTGATGTGTTAGTGCACTCGTGTGCGAATCTATCTGGAGCTCTCTCCCTCTCTGTCTCTGTGCAAAAAGTATATGAATGCATTCATTGTTCAAAAAATATATTGAAAAATGTGGGTTACAAAAGAAACGGACCACATTGTCTGGTGACTGTGCTCCGTCAGCTCGCACGTCGCCTTTCTCGGTCTCCGAAAGCCTGACCTCGTTACTGCCCCGTTCAGTGCATCTAGTTCTGCTGTTTCTGTGCCTTCAACTGTGCATGTGCTCAACATGTTTCGTACCTTCATCTGCAAACAAACGTATTTCCAGATTGCAAATGCCAGGTGCATGTATATGCACATGCAGACAGACAGGCAGGCACGAACACGAAGGCACCGTGCGTCTGATAAACGTATGAGACAACAGGCAACAAAAACAAAGGCACGCGCATGTGTGCATGTAGTCCGAGTATACTCAGACGTAAAAGGCCCTGCACACACCTGGACAAAACGTCTCAAAGAACTCAAGAGATGGAAAGGTGGGCCTAGCAAGTGCCATCCGAATGACTAAACACATGACTGCTTTGCAATGGCCGCTGCGCAGAACCTTCACAAAGCTACGACAGCAGCCCGGCGATCAAGTTCGACCATATCCGGCTCGGCAGACATGATGTCGATATCTCTCTCAAACCCTAAGCCCCGACACGGCTAATCTGCACATGGGCCTTTCAAGCTCTCCGGTGGACGAAAGAGGCGCGGAACGTCTGCTGCAGCGAAAGCATAGCGTGGCCTCAGCAATTCTTCAACCACAAGTGGCCATAGTTCCCGGTTGCTGCCCCTTCTCACATTGGTTGGCTTCTCTCAGCTTGAGCACGCTCTGTGGAATCCATCCTATGCTGGTTTCGAAGAGTGGAGCCGGTCTGGCAAGCTTGCGAAATGGTTTTCTGCGTTTAGGGTTCCATTGACGGGTTCGATATCCTGGGGTGTGTCTAAAGATTTCTCTAACTTGTCGATCCGTTAAGGGTGCTGTACTCTCTTTGTATGTGTCTCTCTCTCGCTTGCCTGCTGCGGGACGAGGTCGAGGTCAGTAGCCGTTCTCAGGGAGCAGGCGGCCCAAAAAGGGCTAGACTGCTAGACTCGGCTAGACTATTTGAGAAACAAGGTGCAACTCGCTCGAAACGGACTGGAGTATTGAAACAACACGGAGCAAACCGCTGGAAAGGAACTAGAGTATTGTCTGAGAAAGGAGCAAACCGCCGAAATGGATTGCCGTAACTGAAACACAGGGAGCAAGCTGCTCGACAAAAAAAGAATATTTGAGACACAGGGGGCTGTTTCAGACACACAAGCAAACTGCCACAAATGAAATATGAGGAAACAAAGAGCACACCGCTCGAAAGGGACTGCAACACTTGAGGCACAAGGAGCAAGCCGCTCTAAAGGGACTGCAGTAATTGAGACACAGGGAGCAAAACCACACAGAAAGGACTGGAGGGATTGGGAACAAGGGAGAAAACCCCTCGAAACGGACTAGGGTATTTGAGCAACAGAAAACAAACCGCACGAAATGGACTGAAATATCTGAGACACAAGGAGCAAACCGCCCGAAAGCAACCATAGTGTTTGGGAAAAACAACAAGCAAGCCGCTCGAAGGGGACTGCAGCAAACGAGACACAAGGAGCAAGCCGCTCGAAAGGGACTAGAGTATTTCAAAAACCAAACCCAAACCGCCCGAAAGCGACTGCCGTAATTGGGACACAGGGAGCAGACCCCTCGAAAGGAACTAGAGTATTCGAGAAACAAAGAGCAAACCGAGCGAAATGGACTGCTGTAATTGAGACACAGGGCGCAAGCCGCTCGGAAGGGATTGCAATAATTGAGACACAAGGAGCAAACTGCTCGAAAAGAGACTGGAGTATTCGAAACACAGGGAGCAAGCCGCTCGAAAGGGACTATGTAGGATAATTGAGAAACAGGAGCAAGCCGCTCGAAAGGGACTGCAATTTTTGAAACACAAGGAGCAATCCGCCCGGTAGGGACTATAATATATGAGCGAGCAACAAGCAATCCGCTCGAAGAAAACTGAGAAACAGCGAGCAAACCGCTCGATAAGGACCGGGCTAGAGTTCTTGAAAACGAATCGCAAACCGCTCGCTCAAAACTGTTTATGCTCTCGCAACTCGGACAAAACATGTTTAGGCACGTGAAGTCTTGACCGGCGTGACCATTCCCGTACCGCGAATGGAACGGCGCCAGACCCTCGTTGTCATTGAACGACCGCTGAGTGTCCAAAATCGCATTGCTTGCCTATTCCGGCTCTCGGAGACTCTGACTGGTCTGCTGCTTCCAAACTCATCTGGCTGAAACACTGTTGAAGGCTGAGAATTACAACCAAAAGCTATGTCGAGTGGCGTTCAGCATGTGGCCATCTGACAGGCCAGGGATCGTCCATTCCATGAGAACCGTGTCCTCTTGATACACTAGGCACTGAGAACACGAAACCCCCACAGCTCAGATGCATCGCCTCGAGGTGAGGTTTGAGCCTCGATCCAGATGGGCCTCCCGAGATGATGTCCTTTTGCGGCTTGCTTTGCCAATGCCCCGTGACACAAGTCCGGCTGCCCTCGTCGAGATCGCCCAAGACTCGCTGGCATGTCACATTGTAGGCCTGGAGCTTCGCGTGCTCTTTCGGTTTTAATAGTATATACCTGAAGCCGTAATCCCGAAAACCCTAAAGTCCCGGTCGTTTCGGTCTAATACTACCTGAAACCTTACGCCCTAAAACCCTAAACCTTAAGCCCTAAAGCCCTGGTCCTTTGGTTTAGCACTATGTACTGTAGTCTTGGTTGTATTAAAACAAATAATAACAAATACAATCCTAGCACCCCTAAAATGTTTTAGCAGAAATTTTCAACTGTGGGCCCGAAACCGCAAAATTCCTGAAGTCTGTGGTTTAATAGTAGAGGGGGCTGTAATATTGGGGCGAAGCGATTATTTTTGCAACGTGGATGGCCGCCTCAAACTTGAAAACCCCACGGCCGAAACCGCTGCCGAGCGGCTCCTTGGTCGGTGGCCGGCCGCCTGCCAGCTGCCAGTTCCTTGAATGCATCAGCGCCGACCACTTGGCCCACTTGGCCGGTCGTCTTGATGAGAACTACGCCGTAGTTCTTCAGTGCGGACCCAGCCGCTGCAGCATCCCCACCTACGAGGAGCAAGCCGCTCGAAAGGAACTAGAATACTTGAGAAGCAATGAGCAAACCGGTCGAAAGGAACTAGAGTATTTGACAAACAAGGAGCACACCGCTCGAAACGGACTGCAGTACTTTCGGAAAAGGAGCAAGCCGCTCGAAAGGGACTAGAGTTTTCAGAAACACAGAGCAAACCGCACGAGAGGGACTAGAGTAATTTGCGAAACAAAGCGCAAGCCGCAACGGTTGCAGTAAGTGAGGCACACGGAGCACACCGCGCGAAAAGGACTCTCAAGAGTGTTCGAGATGCAGGGAGCAAACCGCTCGAAAGGGACTAGGGTACTTCAGAAACAAAGCGCAAACCGCTGGAAACGGACTAGGAGCACACCGAGCCAAAAGGACTGCAAGACTTGGGAAACAGGGAAACCGCCGAAGGTGACTGCATAAATCAAAGCGCTCGAAATGCATGAAAGTATACATATGAGAAACGGGGACCAGACCGCTTAGAGTATATGAGAATCAAGGGGCACACCGCTCGAAAGGGACTAGCTTCTTCGAGAAGCAGTCAGCAAACCGCTCGAAACAAACTAGAGTGATTGAAAACCGACACAGGAGATACTAAACAGGTAAAAAACGCTCGAAAGGCAGTGTGTAGGGCCTGTAGTGATTGAGACACAGCGAGCAAACCGCTCGAAAGGGACTAGAGTATTTTTTGAAAACAGAGAGCCAACCGCTCGAAAAGGACTGAAGTAATTCAACAACAAACAGCGAACCGCGCGAAAAGGATTGCTGTAATTGAGACATAAGGAGCGCTCGAAAGGGACTAGAGCATTTTAGAAACAACAAGAAAGCCGCTCGAAAAGGACTGGCGTGTTTGAGAATCACGAGGCACACAGCCCCGAAAGGGACTAGAGTAATTGAGACACAGGGAACAAGCAGCTCGAAAGCAACTAGACTAGTGGAGAAACAGGGAGAAAACGAAACACGGAGCACACCGTTCGAAAGGGACTAGAACAGAGAAAAAGCGGGCAGGCAAACCTCTCGAAAGGAACTAGACTAGTGGAGAAACAAGAAAACGACGAAACAAAGAGAAAAAATCGTTCGAAAGGGACTAAAATAGAGAAAAGGTGTGCAAACCTTTCGACAGGAACAAGTATTTGACATACAAAGAGCAAACCGAGCGAAAGGGACGGCAGTAACGGAGACATAGGGGGCAAGCCGCTCGAAAGGGACTATGTCGAGTATTTGAGAATCCAGGAGTAAACTGCTCGAATTAGGGACTTCAGTTTTTTGAGAAACAAGGCCATCGCTTGCAAGGGACTAGACTGTTTGAGAAACAACAAGCAAACCCCCCGCAAAAGACAACAGTATTTGAGAAGCAAGGAACAAACAGCTCGAAAGGGGAGAAACCTATTTGAGACACAGGGAGCAAGCCGCACGATTGGAACTGCAGTAATTGAGACACAGGGAGCGAAAGGAACAAGAGTGATCGAGAAACAAGGAGCAAACCGCCCGAAAGGGACTGCAGTACTTGAGACACAGGGAACAAACCGCTCGAAAAGGACTACAGTATTTGAGAAACAAAGAGCAAACCGCCTGATAATAATCAGAATGTTTGAGAAACCCTTGAGAAACCGGGAGTACATTGCTCGAAAGGAAACATAACTTTGCAGAAACGATGAGCAAACCGCTCGAAAGGACCAGAGTATTTGAGAAACAACAAGCAAACAGCTCGAAAACTACGTGGCGTCATTGAAAATCAGAGGGCAGACCGCCCGAAAGGGATTAGAGTGCTTGAGACACAAGGAGCAAACCGCTCGAAAGGAACTAAACTGTTGGAGAAGCAGGGAGAGAACGAACCACGGGGCAAACCGTTCGAAAGGGACCGAGTATTTGAGAAACGAAGCGCAAGACATTGAAGTGATTGATACACAGAGATCAAACCGCTCGAAAGGAAGTATTTGAGAAGCAGTGGGCACACTGCTCGAAGAGGACTGGGCTAGTTAAGAAACAAACAGCAAACCGCGCAAAAAGGACCCCTGAAATTGAGACACAAAAAGCAAACCGCTCGATAAAGACTAGACCATTTGAGAAAAAGAACAAACCACTCGAAACGAACTAGAGTTTTTGAGAAACAACAAGCAAACCGCTCGAAAAGGACTGGTGTGTTGGAACCAGGCGGCACACTGCCCGAAAGGGACTAAGAGTGTTTGAATCACAAGGATCAAACTGCTCGAAAGGGACTGGACTATTTCAGAAACAACAAGCAAGCCGCTCTAAAAGAGACTAGAGTATTTGAGAATCAAGGGGTAAACCGCTCGAAAGGAACTAGACCGTTGGGGAGATGATGAGCACAAAGGGACCAGAGTATTTCAGAAACAAGGGCCAAACTGCCCGAAAGGGACTGCAGTACTTGAGACACAGGGAGCAAGCCGCTCGAAAGGCATGAGAATATTTGAGAAACTCTTGACAGGGAGCAAACTGCTCGAAAGGAACTAGTATGGACTGAATGGAAGGATGTCATCGGTTGCTGTAGATTTCCTCAACCACCTCTCCCTCTCTCTCTCCCTCTCTCTCTCTCTCTCTCTCTCTCTCTCTCTCTCTCTCTCTCTCTCTCTGGCATAGGGACCGATCAAGGCCCCCGGGCATTGCGCCCACACGATAGTTTTAATCGGGCTTATGGGGTGATAAGCGACTGTAGTACATCCATCGGCTAAAGCATGCTAAAGCCATCAACTTTACGTGCCGAGTTCAGGATGTACGTACACTCTCCAAAGCAAGATCCCCCTGGCCAAAGCATTCCTGGACACATGACACTAAGAGAAAAATGCATTGAGAAAAGGTTCGGCGTGGAATGCTTGTCCCCCGCCTTTGCTCTCTCGCTCTCTCAATCTTTGGGTCCATGGCGAAAAACACTGTTACCCTCTCAACTTCTCGAGGCATGTTGCAGGAAGGCAGCCAGAAGGACATGAAATGAATCCCGCTCAAGCAGCTGGACGGTTGGTGGACAGATGCATGCATGGATCAGTGAGCGCACGGAGGGTGACACACGGTGACACATCGACCACTTGATGGACGGGTGGCTGGCTGAGTTCATTTGTTGGCGGGAGGGGAAGTCAACAGCACAGCAAAAAAAACGACAGACATACAGGCAGAAGCCTGTCATACAGAACAGCTGGCAGCCAGACGCACGCACACAAACACAAACATCCACAGATGTGTTAAATTGGACACTTCAAGGTCGGAGAGACAAGTTGAGCTGGGTAGTTGAGCACGCAGAAAGAGAAAGACAGAAAGAGAGAGGAGGGAGGGAGAGAGAGAGAGAGAGAGTGAGAGTGAGAGTGAGAGAGCGAGAGAGAGAGAGAGAGAGAGAGAGAGAGTGAGAGAGAAAGAGAGCGAGAGCAGCAACGGCTGCCACGAGACAGTGCAACAAACTGAAAGCCGCTGGGAAGAAATAATGGAAGGGCAGACCTGCGAAGTACTTCTCTGATATGCTGCCCTCGCTTGTGCATTCAAGCGACACGCCATCGGCTCCAATCGCGGGATACACACCTCCACATCGGAAAGAGTTGCACATTGCTCACACCGTCAGGTTGCTTACCACAGCAACCTGGCACCACAGTAAAATTCGATGCAACGAATAGGCCCGGCAGGTGACAAGCATCGTAGCGATGCGACAAAGGACGGAGACTGGCCTGACAGTCCACATGAGGCCTGGTAGGATGCGGAGATGGTGAAAATCCCACCGTCAATTAGCTTCGATCTTCGCACTCATGTTTACGCTCTTGCCGTGTCGTTTGCTGTTGCTGACCTGAGGCCACAACACCAAGAGCTGTGCAGGAACAGCCCGGGGTCGTGGCAGCGAGCAGTGAACATTGAATATGCTCTAATGAACTTGTTCCATTGCTCCCTAGTTAATCAAACTCGATTGTTCGGGTTTGGGAATTGGACTCTCGCAGCTCGCCGCTCGGGCAACCTGGATGGGGCTGGACCGTCCCGAGTCGGGGCAGGCAGGGAAGAAGCGAAAAGAGCTCACTGCACCCATACGGATGGGAAATGGGTTTTCCGGGGCTAGGTTTACGTCATCGGTTCCACGATCGCATGCAGACGCAGGCATGCAAGGACCCAGCAGAATTAGTTTCCGGAGGATTCAACCGTGATCCCAAAACCCCAACATATCCTAGCCAAGTTATCAAGTTCAGGCGTCTTCAAGTCTGCCTTCGGCGTTGTGGTCTTCCGAGCCATCAACCGGCGGGTTGAAAGCACAAGACCTCACACGGATGAACAAGCGAGAATGGTGCCGATCCTATGGAGAGTTGAGTGGGCCCGAAGTGCAGGCAATTATCATGCAAGTATCGGCCTGTCAGAGCTTAATCATCGGCGCCTGTTGGGTTCGATGCTTCCTCCAGTCGATGGGCTGCTTTGGTTGAAGGCTTCGCGGTGGAATGCCGAAGTGGTTCACTGCTGCTGTCAAACGCGAAACCGATCTATGAACTTCGAGATATAAGAACAGGAACAAGTGCCCTGCCATCTGCAGGGCTGTTTTGCAGCCTAGGGTTCTGCAGGACTTTTGCTGAAGTCTCGATTGGAAGCAAAAGTCTTGAAGCATCTTGAAGCCTACGTTCCCAGGACAAGGGCCATTGAGCTATTTGAAGGATGCTCGGCGCTCTCCTGCAATATATTTCCTGCCGAAAGGCACACAGAGGTCACCGTCTGGATAAGCTCGGACTACATGGCACTCTTGGCCACCCAAGCCATAGAACGATCCTTTTCTTGGTGTCTTGGTGCTTGAAATGTTCAGTATTTCGTTGAGGATTTGCACGAAGCGGTAAGGCTTAAGTTTCGGCGCTCACACGGACAATCCAGGCTTAAGTTTAAGGTTTTGTCCTCACAACATTTTTACATTAACATAACCATCGGGCTCGAAAGAGTCTGTCAGAAGACGCCGCATCAGAGTTGTCAAAGGCTGCTTACTCGGCCCCACGCTGGCTGGTAAGCCCCCCTTTCCTCCTGGGTGCCACTGTCCACATCTCCCCGTGCGAGCAGATTCTGTGCATGTTTGACCTAGCATGTTCCGCATTAGTGCAAACTTGCTAAAGATTGCTGAAGCATCTCATCGCGTACCTTCAACAAGCTTGCGAAGTATTGCTTCTGGGAGGTACCGCTCCCCCGCGTTATGCTGGCAAACAGCTGGGTTAGTCAACATCTCCAAGATATGAAATCTCTCCCCTGGCAAGCCAATAATCATGCTGCTTTTGCATGCTTTACGAAGACTACTGCGCGCGGCTTCCATGATCATTTCTTTGCCGTAGCTAGCTGTACATGCGAAACTGAAAGTCTCGGCTGGAGCGAGAGCAATCTTTCCTCCCACCAAACTACGAAAATAAAACAAATGAAACCCTGAGCCATGACCTCAATCCGAAGCCGGGCTGTGTGTGATTCCTGAACCATGCCCCTTGACAGGGTTCAAACCTTTTGCTCAGGACCCACTACAGAAACCCCACAAAAGGCTGATCTCGGCCACTGGTTAAACAAGAGAATATGCCGCAAAACCACACCGAAGCTTGAGCCCGGAGTCCTGGCTCAAGCTTGAACACGGCAAAGCCTTCCTGGGAGATGATTCGAAAGCAACGATACTCGCAGCATGCATGGTAGCTTATTTCGTGGACTGTTCTCGCCGAGCACCATTGCCTGCATGGATGCCACAGAAACACCTTTAGCAAGAACCCGGGAGTCGAAACGCCGTGTTCGTTGAGTTTCTGCTGCAGGCCTGGAGACCCGATCCTATTGATGCATAATTGCAAGGCGACCACACGAGAAAAGTCTAAGCTCCTAGCTGTGAACTGGGCAATTCAGGCCTTCAAGACAAACTAATCCAGATCGCCATCTGGAACCAAACTTCGTCCAAACAGTCCATCGACTCATCTGGTGTCTGCAGGACGTTAACAAGCCAATAAGACCCCAAATGTGGCAACCGGGAGTGCTGAAACCTGTATGAAATCTTGAACGGCTTTCCCAACCACAAGACAGGGTCTGAGTTTCTCCCTCTGTCTGGTGTGGCTGGAGTAGTTCGAGCTCCCCGTACCTAAGCATCGGGATCACCACTGGCAAAACAAGAAGCTTGCAATGCAGACTAAATGGCATACTTTGACACTACGAGATCCCTGATGCTGTGCTCCTCTCAGAATATGCTTTAAGAAGCCAAAACCGAAGGTCATCAAACGAGAGCTTTCCAAGCTCCCAGCCCTACATCTGAAGCTCGGCTTTTTGGGTGCTCGGAACTCTCCGTGTGGGGGTTCACAGCCGAAGCCGCATTCAACTTGTACGTAAGAACCCGTATGTCTTGCAAGCGCACCCGCACCGCAAACCTCGACTGCGGATGAGACCTTCAAGCCAAGACATCTCGCAACACTTGCCTTCTACAGCATGAAACTTTCCATGCATCTGCCAGGAACATACCGTAAAACGTAGCGTCGCTCCAGCACCCTGAAACTCCAACATCTCTCCAGTCCGTTCCCCACTCGTTCGAATCATGAACCCCATGTCAGCGGAGTTCGACATCTTCCCACAACAACAATTGCTCAACCTGACCATCGACAGTACTGAACCCCGCTTGCGCAGTTTGGCTGAGAGGCCCAGAGGTCACCAGCACGGCCTCCACGTGGTTTTTGTAATGGATCCGGGTGCTCGATCCTGCCTTCTGCGTAGAGCAAGGGTCTTCGGGTTTGGGCTTTCCTTTCGTTGACTATGTAGGGTTTCGGGTTTAAGATTCAGGTTTACGGTACAGGCTCGCCCTTACCGTTGGAGCTCCAGGCTGAAGCGAAAATCAGCGGTTTCCGTAGAGTCGTAGCCTTGGAGTATGAACCTGAATTAACTCATATTAGGGCCAGAATGTCCGGCGATTTAGCACCACCACTTTTAGGATAGTGTGGAAGCCTCTGTATACCAAGCTCCAGAACTTGAGTTGAGAGGGGAGAAGAGAAAGATGGGTTCAGGAGTTTGTTTGAACTGACGAACACACTTTATTAACACCGACTGAAGCAATGAACGTGCCTCAAACCGTAAATCCTCAAGTCCTGAAGGCACAAAGCAGAAGCTACTTCAGGACCAAACTCTTCACATGTCCAGACGCCGACACCCCGGGCCTTGAGAAGCGTTTGATGGAAGGAGAAGCCTTATAAGTCGGCTTGTGCAGTTCGTCGGATATCTCCAGGTTGCACCAGGCGAGGCATTAGAGTCAGACGTGAGGGTTGTGTGTTGTAGGAGTCCTGGAGTTCAAGGGCTTTCAAGTTGAGTTTTCAGTGTGCGCGGCCTCTTCTTTCTTGCTCCGAGTGAAGAATGTCGGAGTCTCTTCCGGTTGAGGCCTGCGCTAGTCAAATCATTTTGGAGGCATCTGATGTTAACAACAAACCCATCTGCCAGCATCCGGGGATGCGGCAACACCACACCTGTGCCGTCATGATCGGGGCAGTTTCAGAATACCACGAATCAAGAGCTCAGCTGCATCCCCCCCAAACTTTCGAGGCCAAAGACTCTTGCAAACCTATCACAATTAACATCCGACACGGCACCAAATCCGTCCACTCTCCGCAGGTATCCTGGGCTCCAAACGGGTCAAAATTCCGAGGAGAATCAGAAGTAGGGTTCAGGGATCAGTCACCGTTTAGTATGTTTAGTCTTGTCTCCTTGAGAAGTTGAGGCCATGCCACCTAGGGTCTCCTTCGATGAATTTTAGCTTATGTTGGAAACTCGTCGGTTGCCAGTACTACGAATGTTCACAAAGCCTGAGTCATGCTGAGCCGAAAGCGCGCACAGCTCAAAGTGCTGCTTTTAACTTCTCATCTCTCATTGTCCTACTCCTACTCAAATCTTATGGGCTCTTGCACTCGAGCCTTTTTCCTTACAGTTACTCTGAGCTCCAAAACGAAGCCGTGTCAACCAAAGACTTGAACTACATGACCTCCGACCTCTGGAGCAATATCCAGAATGCCTGAAAAAGTAGCATCCCTGAATTGCCGAAAATCTTGACAAGATTGGCCACTGCTGTCTGCTGCAACCTGCGGATGAATCCCTTGAAGCCTCGTGTGTGTCACTAAAGGCTTTGAGCGCTAGAAACCTGAGCCCTTGAGCCCAGCTGCTTCGGCTCTCCCACGTCTGAGTTCGAGCCTGTCAACTTAACGACGTTCCAGCAACCCTCCGACCCTGGGCCAACGCTTCAAGACACATAGACATGACCAGGCTCTTTACAATGATTCTGAAGGATGATGGTGATGATGTCTGACGACGATCAGGGGCAAGTAAGCAGGAGACTGCAATGCCGGCAGGGATCGTTGATTCACTTTCGGTACCATTGTAATCACAGCGGTCCTATTGAATCTTGGGATGTCCAGCGGTTCTGGACATCGCTACATTATCCTAACAAAACCTCGCTTGACGCTGTCATGCGGCTAGCCTTAGAGGAGTCTGCGTCTACGAGGGGCCTGCTTCACCGCTCCCAAAGCCCTGACGTCGTCCAACGTCCCTCAGCCGGCCAATGGATGTGGTTCGTTTGTTGTCGGGGCGGGAGGGAGAATGACACAAAAATGCCTCAGGCATTCCGGGCGGTTCTCGGCTTTCGCGAAGTACCAACATCGAAGGGTTGGCCCGAGGCAGGTTCCAAGCAGCTCGGCTTGGGGTCTATGGAGCAACAAAACACAGGAGCTAATGTGAAAAAACGCTCGCAAGTAAGAAATGCTGCAGCTCAAACGTTTCACGATACGGTCAGAACAAAAGTGCATCTGATGCGTTTGCTTGATGGGCGGGACGGCATCGAGCTCCAAGAACAACCAACTCTGCCATGGCAGCCAAATCGCTCCTGTCTAAAGAAGCAGTCGGCCCCTTAGGGAAGCAGGCCTTCACCGAAAGGTGAGCCTTAAACCCACGTGTTGTAAAGAGATGCGAGTTGCGGATGACAAAGTGCGGGGCCTTCTGGCTCCAGTCTGGCTCGCCTCTAAGATTCCAGGTTACATAAAGCCAGAGAAACGGTTGTGCTAGCGTGGCATGCGTCATTCATGCATACAAGCAGAACACCCAGAAGTGCTTCGTACGCATGTTTGTATATGTACAACTGTTGTTATCACATCTGTTTCTCAACACATATACAAAAACATTATACATTATACATGTATATGTGTCTGTACATGCACATGTACATGTATGTGCATATTGTATACATGCACCCACGAATGAATGTATCTGGATTGTCTATTATGTACATATATATACACACATACACATACACATGCGTGTCGGCTGTGTGTTGACACACACATAGGCAAGTATGAAACCAAGCTTCATGACACGATTTTGCATCAGCATCGGGCTTCGGAACTTTCGAACTGAGGCAGCCCTTAGACCATGTGGGCTTGGGCGGCCACGTGGTCATGCGGACTGGGTCTCTTGGATGAACAGAACAAGATGACAGTATCGAAGTGTCAGCCCATGATCCATATGGTCCACATGGCGGCCCTCAAGCAGTTGGCCTCGAATCAGTGAGGAAGATGTCGAAGAACTCGCAGTCGCTGCAGAAGCCATGTTTGAGAATGCTGCGTAACTGTGTAGCTCTGTTTCAGGGCGCAGGTTCAACTGTTCTGATAGCGGATAGCGCTCGCAGCACTGCATTTGGTGGACTGCAAGGTTGTCAGACCAGCCCATTCCCTCTGTCTTTGCCAACCTGCTGTGCCAGCATTCGAACTGAACTGGCATCGTCAACAAGCCACTCCTGTAGATTGTGATGATGCTTCTTCGCCGTTCTATCTGCAGCCTTCGTTTCAAGGGGGTACACAGCTCTGACGTCTGCCCGTCGCTATTTGCAGTTTTCTCCAGGCGCTTCTTTCACAGTTTTTGAAGCTTGAGACAACCAGGCCATGCAAGAGTCGACGACAGCAAGCACCAACTCTGAAGCTGCAACAATCCCAAAGCTTGAAGCCGCCAGAAGAGCCTACAGTCCTACAGTGCTTCCATTGATGACCATTGCCGATGCTGCTGGTCTTCAAGCATCAAATTAAAACAGGGCTACAGGGCACAAAGCTGTGAGCTCTTTTGAGTGCTGCTTTCTCCACGCACGTGCTTGATTGCTCTGCCTGATCTGCGCCCATGTCCTTACAAGCGTGGGGCAAGCGAAGTCGTGAAGGTGACCAGTATTGTTCAGAGACTGGCCACGCTCTAGCTCAGGGTTGCACATGAAGGGAAACCTCGTCCCCTAACCTGATTTCGAACCGATAAAGCATGCAAGACTTGTTCTATCCGGTACAAGGCCTGGGGCCTGTACGATCGGGCAGGCAGCCTGCGCTGGAGTTTTACACCAAACTAGACCTGGCGAGTTTATTGGAGCGTGCTCTTCGATCCTGCGATGCCCAGAGTATAGTGGGCGACAACGGCTTGCCGGAAAGCCTGTAATCGTTCGCCGGAACGTGTAGGGAGCCCACTTCAAGTGTCCAGCCGTCGGGTACATCCCATTGTGTCCGCTGGGTCTCCTGCACAGTCAGTACAGTGCCATACGGGGATCCATTTTAATGCTGATGTCAAGCAGGCAGGGGTAGGGGATCAGCAGGGTAGATGTAAGTTTTGAGCATTTTAGCACTCGCACTCGAACGTGCCAGCCGAGGCTGTTGAAGGCAAGAGAGCGAGCAGAAGTCGCTGCCGAAAGTTAAACGCGACGGCTTTGTGGCAGCAGAAGCGTTGACCTAGCACCACCGAGTTTCGCAAGTTGATGATTAATAAACTGAATATTATGACTTGCGGTCAGAGCGAAGCTGCCCAAACGAGGCCGCCCCTGTTTCTGATAGACTGACATGCCATACCTGAACCCTACTCCCGGGATTCATGCGTCATGGCAAACCGGCTACCTGCGGCCTTCTCCGCTACAGCTTGCACGTGAGCAGTGTGCTCGCGCAACAATGACAAACTCTGTCGTATCAGCACCGGGAAACCCTGAACTCATATGATATTCACAGCCGCCAACCGGCCGAGCTTTTGCAACAAGGTGGGGCCCGAGCATTGTTGTAGAAGTACCTGGACAGCAGTGATCACGCAGTGGCTTGAAAACGTCCCTGCAAGGTCTTTCATCGCTCACTGTTGTTTTGCTCGTGCTTGCTCGTCGTCGTTGTACTAGTAGTAGCAGCAGGAGCAGTAGCCATAGCACTAGAAGTAGCAGTAGCAGCAGCAGGAGCAGGAGCGGTGGCAGTGGGAGTGGAAGGAGGAGTAGGAGTAGTGGGAGTTGCAGTAACAGTAGTGGTAGCAGTAGTTAGAAGCCATAGTGGTCTGGTCGCAGCAGTCGTAGCAGTAGTAGTAGTAGTAGTAGTAGTAGTAGTAGTTGTTGTTGTTGTAGTTGTAGTTGTAGGAGTAGGAGTAGGCGGAGGAGGAGTGGTTGCATTTGTTGTTGTAGTTGTAGTTGTCTTTGTAGTGGTAGCAAAAGGGCTAATTGAAGGTAGTAAAAGTGGTAGTACTAGTTGTAGCAGCAATTAAAGTAGCAGTCGTCGTAATTAGGAGCTGTCGAAGTCGTAGCCGTGGGGCTAGTGGTAATGATAGCAGTCGTCGTCGGGGTCGTGGCGGTGGTCGTGGTCGTTGCTGCGGTCGTGGTGATGGTGGTGCATAGTAGTGGTGGTTGTGGAGGTGGCGGTTGTTGTGCTGGTCCTAGTAGCAGTAGCAGTGGTAGCAGTGGTGCGAGTGGTAGTCGTCTTCGTAGTAGAGTAGCAGCAGCAGTAGTAGTAGTCGCACCAGTAGCCGTAGTAGTCGTAGTAGTCGTAGTAGTCGTAGTACCACTACTGCGGCTACTACCATCTAAGTACTAAGTACTATCTACTACAACAAGAACTACTACTACTACGACGACGACTACTACTACGACGACTACTACTACGACTACTACTAAGACGACGACTACTACTACTACTACTACCTACCACTACCTACTACTACTCCTGCTGCTGCTGCTTCTACTGCTTCTACTGCTACTACTGCTACTGCTACTACTACTCCTACTCCTGAATCTACTCCTGCTCCTACCGCTGCTCCTTGTCCTACAACTACTGCTACTGCTACTCCTACTACGACGACGACAACGACAACGACTACGACGACGACTACTACGACGACTACTGGTACTACTACTAATCCTACACTCCCCCCCCCTACTCCTTGTCCTTCTGCCACAGCTACTACTTCTACTACTACTACGACGACGACGACGACTACTACTACTACTCTTACTACTACTCTTACTACTACTACTACTACTACTACTACTACTACTGCTACTGCTACTGCTACTGCTACTGCTACTGCTACTACTACTACTACTACTACTACCACTACTACTACTACTACTACTAATACTACTACTCTTACTACTACTACTGCTGCTGCTGCTGCTACTACTACTACTACTACTACTACTAGTGCTACTACTATTACTGCCACTACTACTACTACTACTACTACTACCACTACCACTACTACTACTACTACTGCTACTACTACTACTACTAGTACTACTACTACCACTACCACTACCACTACCACTACCACTACCACTACCACTACCACTACCACTACCAGTACCACTACCACTACTACTACTACTACTACTACTACTACTACTACTACTACTACTACTACTACTACTACCAGCACTGCGACTACCACTACCAGTCACAAATACCACAATTGCCGCCACCATCATGACGACTACAGTATCACTACCACTACCACTGCGACTACGACGATGCTGCTGCTGGCGCCACCATTCCTGTTACTTAGGAATGGACCGACGGCTGTGCAGTCAACATGGTTGCGCACCCCAAGAACCACAATGTAGAATCGAATATCCTCAAACAAGGCCCGCTCAATGATTTAGGCTGCCTGAACCCTAAGAGCCGTACTGTACTTCTTGCAGCCAAGCCCCAGGTTCTTTGTGTCTCCCTGCATACACTCGTTCCTCGATCCTGTAAGACGTGCTAAAATCATCCTAAAACACCACAAGATGAGACAAAGCCTGTTGAACTCCGCTCAGGCCTGGCCCCATCGCTCGCGAAGTGCTCTTCCCACGGACCGCAATGTCTGATGGAGTCCTGGTTTGAGCTGGCTAAGGCCTAGGGCTTTAAGGCTTTCGCGGTTAGAATTCCGTGAGACACTACGGCAAGGAGCTCACGGCAAATTCGTTCAGCCGGGCTGTTCTCGCCTTGTGTTGGAAGCCTCCACGATTTGGCGACGAGACCGTGGTACAGCAAGCAAGTGGCTCTTCAATCCAAACTTGACTTGGGATTCTGCAACAGGCTATTAGTTACAAATCCTAACGCCAACCTTCACATCTTGAAATCAAACCCTGGCCCGGGACACAAATATAAGGTTGGAAGATTTGGATACCGCGCGGCCTTCAGACTGCAGGTCGTGTAAGGGCACGGAGCTTGTACCGAGGGACTTTTTTGAGGTGCTTCAATGTTTGTGCCGATCATCACATGTTAGGAGCCTTCAGGGACTTATTTCATCCTCCCAATCGAGGATCTATCCCTGCTTGAAAGATGCCTTTTGCAACATGAGACGCCAGGCCCCAAAAAAGACCCAAAGCCTGTGAACTCCTAGACAACTTTGACCCCGAGCCTGCAGCCGAAAACGGCGCCGGGAGGCCAGAAAACGGCCCAGGAGCTGATCCTTCTTGTCAAGGAGCGGGGAGGGGTTGGGGGTTGGGTGCTAAGGGTCTTAGTGCTTCGAACCCTATTGATTTGTCCCGTGTTTGTCATCCTGGAGCAGGGTTTAATGGGATTTGGTGCACTGAGTTTCGCTTCGCTTTCTTCGGGCATCTGTAACTGTAAAACGCATTAACAGCTTCAAGGGGCATGTGCGGGTTTCGTTTTGAGGAACCGGAGAAGTGTAGGGTTTTTGGGCTTCAGGTACTGGCGGTTTGGGGTAGTAGTTTTTGGGCGTTGAAGCTTAGAAAGACACAGGAGCTATAACTCCTGAAGCAGGAATCATCTCAAACGAGCGTCCTCCTGCTGATCTTGGTCTCTTCGGGCGCTCTGAAGCACCTGCATTGCGAAACTCCTTTGCTGTTCAGAGTGCTGGGACTCGGTTTGGGTGCCATCTCGTGATTTGTGTCCAAGAGCATTCAGGAGTCCCTGTCCCTGGTATGCTGTAACGTGGCGAAGGCTGTGAAACTTTTGCTCCCATGGAGCTGCGCATGGCAGCCCCAGAACAGCCATAAGACGTCGAGTGCAAAACCTGAAGCCATCAGCCCTAAAGCTCGAGTCTCAACCCTAACGTAACACTCTAGTTACCGCCGTGCCTCTGAAACCCACAACCCGATCAAATGCCTGCTTGTCAGATTC